AAACGTGTGTCCTCAGCCACCGTCCAGGGAACAACGTCACCTCCAGAGGGGTACGACCAAGATGGGGAGGAGGGGACGGGTGCAGAAATGGGGAGCGCCAGGGATGGAGGGGGAGGCCAGGCTGGCCAAGGACTCTGGAAGGGATTGCCCGGCAGGCAGAAGAGCCAGGAGCGTGGGCAGGGCGCACAGGGACCTTGCTCTGGGCACAGGAAGGTCAGTGGCCACTCTAGAGGGCAGAAGCCAGAGCTGCAGAGCGAAGGGGAGCCTGGTCGGGAGGAGAGCCCCTCGGGAGGGGTGGGGTGGAGGAAGGGCCGTGGGTGGCAGCTCCGGTGGCGGGTGGAGCCGAGGAGGGAGGCAGGAAGCGCTCGAGGACCCAGAATGGAGGCTGCTGCTGGCCCCAGAGAGTTGGGAGGCCTGAGGGACGGGGAGGGAGAGGGTCCCTGCGGGTGGCCAGGCCGGGGACTCCACGGTGTGTCCTGGACTGTGAATCGGGGTCTGGTCCTGGAGGCCACGCGGGGCGCCCCACGTGCCAAGAGACCCGCAGGAGCATCCCCTGGACGCAGGTCCGGGGCTCTGAGGACGCTGGCCCCTCTGGTAGGCAGACCGATGCCCTCCCAACGGCGTCCAGCAATCTGTAAATGTCACCTCCCAGGGCCAAGGGCTCTGCAGACGTGATTTATTTAAGGATCTTAAAATCGGGAGACAATCCGGGATTATCCAGTGGCTCAGAGTAATCACAGACGTCCTCACAGGGGAAGGGGGGAGGCCGCGTCCCAGGATGGGGAGGGCAGGAGGGGCCGGGAGTGACCGAGAGGACGCGGCTCTGCGCGGGGGAAGGGGCGGCCAGCCGAGGGATGCGGGTGGCCTGGGGCAGGAAAAGGCAGGGCATGTCACCCCCTGGGGAACCTGGCACCTCCCAGCTCCCGAGCTGGGGGGACGACATCTGTGCTGTTTGAGTGGCAGTGCCGACAGTGGTGCTCCTTGTCACAGCAGCCACAGGACACTAGCACCTGGCCACAGTGGCCTGTCTAGGAAAGTGTGTCAGGAGACTCTGTTGGGAGGAGAGGGATCGGGGCATGTCCCAGTGTCACCTCCTGGACTTCCCGCCTGTGGGAAGGGACCGGCTGGACACCTTCCTGGAGAGCCAAGGTCGAGTGTCCACCCGGGGGAGGGTCCGAAAGCTGCCCAGGACTTCAGGAGCCTGCAGAGGGCCTGGGGAGGGGTGGCCTGGACCCCAGGCTCAGGTGAAGGGTCCCACTGCCCAAGCTGAGCAGCAGGGCTGGCCAGGGGTGGAGCCGGGCGGAGCCCCGGGCGGGACAGCGGTCCCCCTCCTCGTTTTCTGAGGGCAGACTCCTCCTGGCTTCTCTGTCACCTTCCGGGGGCTGGGAGAGACGGTGAGATGACAGTCCCAGCCACACAGGGCCTGGCCCTTCAGCCAAGGTCACATCAACAGAGAGCCGCCCTGACCTCAAGGCACAGGTGGGAAGAGTGAGGCCCAGAGAGGTGAAGACACTGGCTCAGGGCCACCCAGCATGGAGTGGCAAATTCTTGATTTGAACTCATGCCCCCAGATTCAGAGAACGGGGACAGAGGAGGGGCTCTCGGGCCCGAGAGGCCAGGTCAGGATCAACAATCAAGGGCCTCCTTCGGGCTGGAATCAGGAGGCAGAGGATTTTGGAGTGTGGTCTGTGAGAGCCCTTGGAGCAGGCCCAGGGTGGAGAGGGGACAGGGCAGGGCCTGTGCTACTGCTCAGGCCTTCAACCTCTGTGGCAGGTGCTCTGAACCCAGGGCCCAGGCTGGGACACTTGTTCAGAGGGGAGTGAGCCGTGGGGCCGAGGCAGAGAAGCCGGCTCAGAGACGTCTCTGTTCCTCCTGCTGTGCCGCCCGGGGCCAGGCCCCGACCCCTCCTGCAGAACCCGAGGCTCATGGACACCACCGGAGACCACCGGTGCCTGGACTCCTCACCCCCGGCCCAGGCCAGAGAGCCCACGGGGGCCAGTGTTTCCGCAGCCCCTTCCAAGAGGCTGGGCCCGGGTTCTCCTTGCCACAGAACCCGGTTTCTCTTAAGGAAGAACCTGGCCTGGCTCAGATTCTAACCAGCAAGGGGGCTTTGGAGGGGCCAAGATCACCTACCTTCAGAGGCCAAGAGCCTGGGCTTCCAAACCTCTTAAGCAAATTAAAAGAACAGATGTGTAGTGAGCACCTCCTTTAGACGTGGTTTTGTAATTTCAGCCTTTACTGGCTCAACTGTCCTCATCTGACCAGTGAGAAAACAGAGTCCAGAGAGGTAAAGTGACTCACCAAGGACACACAGCAAGGCCGTGCAGAGGTAGAGCCTGCGGGCCCTGGGTGTGTGCATCTTCCTCTTCCCCGACACAGGGCTGACCCACAGGGGAGCCCACTCTAGTGACTCAGGTCTGACCTGCCCCGACCCCTCTCACTCCTCTGTTTCTTACAAACGAGAAAACGGAGGCTCAGGGGCCCTAAGTCACCTGCCCGAGGTCACCCAGCCTTCTGCACGGGGGCTGGGGAGCCCGGGGCTCACACTCTTCCTGCTCCTGTTCTGGAATGCAGCCTCCCAGATCCCCAGCCAGGGCTCCGAGGCTCGGGGGCTCGGGGCGCCTGAGCACCGCCCCCAGGGCGCCCGGGTGCAGGAAGCTGCAGATGCCCTGGCCCCGGTGCCGCGCCTCTCCTGCTCCATGCTCGGAGCAAGGAGGGAGGACGGCTCCGGGCGGTTGGCAGAGCGCAGCGCTCCGGCTGATGGAGAGATTACTCCTAAGCCTCCCTCCCCCCGCAGGACCATGCTGGCCGTCCCCGCGGACCTGGAGAGTCCGCGGCTGAGGCAGGACACAAGCCCAGCTCCTCAGCGCGACCTCAGACCCTCACCTCTCAGGAGGGGGGGCTTCGGGGTCCTTCTGACGTCCCCCGGGCTCTCCTGCAGCTGCCGGAGAGAGAGGCACAATGAATGAACTTCCCGCTCCCGGGGGAGGAGAGGGGAGAGACTGACTCTGCCGGGAACCGCGGGGTTGGCATTTTCTTCTCCCTTCGTCCCCACCACAAACCGCCCCTCTCCTGGCCCCTGGGCTGTGGGCTCTCCTTGCCTGGCAGAGAAGCCGCTGCAAATGAGCTCCGTGAGACAAGAGGGTGAGCCGGACTTCAGGGGAAGAAGTTGGTGCGGGGCGGGGGCGGGGGGCGCAGGACGGAGATGCTGTGGAGCACCCCTGGCCAAGCCTGTTTTGAGACGATGCCTCTAGAAGCAGCTCTGCTTGCCAGCTGTTTGGGGGACGTCGAACACCCGGTTGCGTGTGTTGTGAGTGCAGAGAAGGCAGAGCCCAGGCTGGGAAACCGAGTCCGGGTTGGATTTGGATATGCTGTGTGACCTTGGACAAGTCACCGCAGCTCTCTGGGCCTTGGCTTCTGCACCTGGGAAATGAGCAGGCTGGGTAAGCGCTCGCTGATTTCAAGCACTCTCCCCTCTGCAGGCTGTGCTGCTTCCCCTGGTCCTAGGCTGTGAGCGAAGTGACACATGCAGCAGAGCAGGCTGCCGTGGGGCCAGCCAGTGTGGACTACACCGGCGTGAGTCACTCTGCACCATCCACCAGAGTCCAGCCTGCTCTGAACTGAGAGGAACTTTTATTTCCATCAGCTGCCGAGTCCTCCTCCTGACTGCGGCGTCTCTGCAAATGTAAGGCTCTAGATGCTTTGGAGACAGCTCTGGCTGGAAGGAACGGTATAAGAAATGGTTGCAGAATACTGAGGATGAGAAATGTTGTGGAGGCGATTTTTTAGATGTGTGAATGGGCTAGATCGAAATGCTTGTCTAAGTCAAGCTGTCCAAACAGGTGTAAAATGGAGAGAGCATTAGGGGTCCCTTCATTTTGCAGATTAAAAAAAAAAAATGCCCAGAGAAGGGGAGTAACTAGCTGAAGGTCACACAGCAAGGGTGGCTGAGGCAAGCGCACAATGGCACAATGACAGCATGGAGGAGAGCCCTCACTGAAGAGCACGAAGTGCCCTCCACCCTCCCAGGCAGGTCCTCCAAATGAGGAAGCCAAGGAGAAGGACAGAGCAGTCCTACAGAACTCCTCCTGAGAGCAGGCCTCTGAAAGCAGAGGCCCAGTCCTTGACCCCTCAGCAGCCAGCCTCCCTGAGCAGCCTCTCCGCAGCAGGGTGCTTCTCCTTGCTGAGCTTCTTCCTGCCTGCAGGGAGGGGGAGTCCCGTCTGCCTGGTGGGGCCGCTGGGGCCACTTAACTGGGGAGCCTCTGCAGTGTTCCCAGTGCACCCCACCTGCAGCCTCCGTGTGCCCCGTGACCTGGGCCCTCACGCCACCCCAGCCTCACAGACCAAGCAGGGGGCATGGAGAGGCTGTGGCCAGTACCTAAGGGATGGGAGCCTCGAGGGGACCCTGACCGCCCGCCTCGCTTTACCAACCAACCGCGCCCTGCGGGTTGGTGAGAGTCCCTGCATTTGAATGCAGGATGTTGAGAACAGAGAGGCAAAGCCACATGCCCCGGGCCACACAGCCCAGATGGCCACCTTGTCTAGTTCAGGACCAGTGCCTCGAGTCCCCACGATCCCAGTGGCTGTTCTGGGAGACGAGGGTCAGGAAGCAGGGTGCAGGAGGAGCCACAGGAAAGCCAGGGAGCGGGTGGCCTGGGAGTGGGCCTCCCCCAGCCTCACCTCCCTGTCCCCTGCCCTTTCTCTGGTGTCAGACAGGTGCTCCCACCGCTCGCGGGCAGGGACAGCTCTGGCCATGCCCGTGCCTTCGGGAGATGGGGTCCTGGGCCTCGGACACCCTCACGGTGGCTCCTACAGCCCCCTGAGCCAGCTCCTGCCGGGCCCCCCGGAGCCTCGGTCGGCCAAGGGCCTGTACTACCGCCGGGCCCGGAGGCTGGGCGTGCTGGAGGCCCCCCCGGAGGCGGACCTCAAGAAGGAAGTCCTGGTCAACGTCGGGGGCCGCCGGTTCCTGCTGCCCTGGAGCACGCTGGACGCGTTCCCGCTGAGCCGCCTGAGCCAGCTGCGGTTCTGCCGCAGCCGCGAGGAGATCGGGCAGCTGTGCGACGACTTCGACGAGGACACGCAGGAGTTCTTCTTCGACAGGAGCCCCAGCGCCTTCGCGGGGATCGCCAGCTTCCTGGCGGCCGGGAAGCTGGTGCTGCTGCAGGACACGTGCGCGCTGTCCTTCCAGGAGGAGCTGGCCTACTGGGGCATCGCGGAGGGCAGCCTGGAGCGCTGCTGCCTGCGCAGGCTGCTGGGGCGGCTGGAGGAGGTGGCCGAGCTGCGCCGCGAGGAGGCCCTGCAGCGGCAGCGCGAGGCCGGCCACCCCGCGGGGCGCAGCTCGCGCTGGGGGCTGTGCATGAGGCAGCTGGGCGACATGGTGGAGAACCCGCGCTCCGGGCTGCCCGGCAAGGTCTTCGCCTGCCTCTCCGTCCTCTTCGTGGCCACCACGGCCGTCAGCCTGTGCGTCAGCACCATGCCCGACCTCAGGGCCGAGGAGGACAAGGTGAGTGGCCCCCACGGGCCCAGGTGGCCGCGTCGTCACTTCTTGAAAGGCAGAGGAAATGAGACTGCTGCCCAGCGTGGCTGGTGTCGTTCTTAGGCCAGGGCAGCGGGGAGAGGCCACTTTTAGCCATTTCTGGAGGAAGAGGCCCACAGAGGGCTCCCGAGGGTCGTCACCTGGCCCCACCCGGGTGCCGACAGTCACTCCTGGTCTCTGTGAGGCGGCAAGTCCCTTCACCTCTCCGAGCAGGACAGGCAGCACCGCCGTGAAGGCCCACACAGGCCACGGGCCGAGCGCGGGTTCCTTGGGCAGCCGCTTTGTGCTGAGCCCCGAGCCAGGCCCAGGCCCCACAGCCTTGAGGCACCTCCTCCTGGGCATCCCGGCTCCGTTTTCAGATGCAGAACCTGAGGCGCAGACCATCTGGTCCCCTGCAGTTAGGTAGTAGAGACGCCGCGACGGCAGGGATCCCCAGCCCCCCTGCCCCCCTGGCCACCTGACCCGAGTCCCCCTCCCCGATGGCCTCCCAGGATGGGAACGCAGAGACGAGATGGCTTGTAAGTGATGCCGCCCCAGGAGGCCGAGCAAACTCGCTGCCTGCCCACCCCCACGTCGGGGAGACCCCAGGCCCCCAGGGCACCAAATGGCCCCAGAAGGGGAATAACTGGCGTCTTTCTGGGGGAGCTTCCAGTTAGAAGAGCTTCGATGCCGAACTCGGGGCACCACGCCTCCCCGCTCGGAGCTCCTCTGCTCCCGTCGTCCTGGCGGACGGGGCTTGCGCTGTAACAGGCAGTTGACACAACACACATGTCCCCAAGGGGCCTGTGCCACAGAGGCTCCTAACAGCTGTCATCCCCCTAAGTGTCCCTCCCTTACAGACACACCCCAGGGCAAGACGTAGGATCAGAGACCCTTCCACATCCAAGAGGCCCATGGAGGACCCGCCTGACCCCACACACTAGACCCTCAATGAATATTTGTGGAACTAAGTGTGTCTTGCCCACCCTGTAAACATCTTGTCCTGATAAAGACAACCGGGCTACTCAGAAGCAGCTTGTCCCCTGCCCCTGTGTTTGTCATTCGTTAGCACCGAGGCCCGAAGCGTAGAAGCCCGTGCTCCAGGGACACGTCCGTGTGCACTGCAGGAAGAAGACCAGGCAGAGTGGGCACCCGCTGACCCCGGTCCTCCAGGGTGCCCCACCCCAGCCGCCACAGCGCGCTCCTCGTGGGGATTCGCAGAGAGAGGCTGGAGGACCAGAGGGCCAGGGCCTCCCTCGCCCAAAGCTTAGAAAAGGCAAAGGGGCAAACTCGGGCCCGGCCTAATGTGACGCAGATTCGAGGTGGGACAGGGGCTTAGAGAGCAGGGCAGCCCCGAGCCGGCGCCTGGGGTGCAGCCTGGTCTCCTGGGTGGGAGGGACGGAGCATGTCCCCGGCGGTGTCCTCAGGCTCCCCCTCTGAGAGGCGCAGCAGAGGATCTGCTTTCCTTTGGGGACGATAACTCAGAGAGCTGGAGAGGCTGGGGACGGCCTTTGTTCTTCCAAGTCTGTGTCCTCACATCGACGTACACGGCGGCCGTCCGTTCTGGACGCGCACGTGCTTCTACTTGGTATCTGCCCCCAGGGGACACGAGGCCGGGAGCCCCTATTCAGACAGCTGGCTGCTCACGCTGGCCGCTGCCCCTGCGGACTGGCCCTGGGGTGCCCACTCACCCGCGACGTGACCCGCAGAGCTCCACTGGGGGGGTCCCTGAGGACGCAGCTTTCCGTGTTCTTTTCCTAAATGGTGTCAGAGAGGTGGAGTGAACTTTGCCACCAGGGCCGGGTCTGTGCCTGAGAGTGCAGATTACAATGGGGGTGTGGGGGGGGCAGCGCACACAGCAAGGACCAAGCCTGGGCAGTGCCGGGTCTGATGCTTGTCAAGAGCCCACCAGGCCCCGTGGGGTGGGGCAGGGGTGGGCCCTGGGCCTTGCCTGAACTGCGGAAGTGTGGGCACCTGGCTAAGGTGGGGCCCGGGGAGGAGGGCACCTGCCCCTGCAGCCAGCTCCCTCCCTCCACCCTCACGAGTCAGGCTTCCCATCCGGCCACCCTGCTCTGCACCTTCTCCTCCTCCGCGACACTTGGTCACTGCTCCCCTGGTTTCATCCTTCACACCCCCCTTGCACCTTCCTGGATCACAGCCAGAAAGATCTACTCCTGACCCCCGGGCCGGGCCCCCCTTCCCTAGTGCGATCCGTCTGTCCTCTGCCTGGCACCGGCACATCCATCTGCTCCTCTCCGTGGGTCTCGCTCCCAGGCCCCCAAAGCCCAGCACCAACCTCATCACCCAGCCTCATCCACAGTCCTCCCCAGAGGCCCTGCCTCTGCCTGGGCTTGTTGTCCCGAAGATCTCTCCTTTAGTGATCGCCAAGGGCACCATCTTGGAGGCCTTGGGAGGTGGCCTCCACCCTCTGCTCAGGGGGAACTTCCAAGAGATTGGGAGCCGAGTTACAGTCAGCCCTTGGGATCCCTGGGGACGGGGTTCAGGGCGCCCCACCAACCTCAGACTCTGAGATCCAGGGATGCCCCAGTCTCTCATGTGACACGGCACAGTGTTCGCACGTGGCCTGCGCACACCCTCTGGTGGATTCACACCCCGCCTCCAGGCTGCTCACGCCATGAGCCTGTCGACTCTTGCTGCGCCGTCTCCTCCGGGGATATGACAAGGGAAAGTCTAGACGTGTTCAGTGCAGACGACACTTTTTTTTAATACTTTCAAACTGCATTTAGTTGGATCCACAGACACAGAGCCGCTGGTAAGGAGGGTTAGCCGGCTGCACTTATTAGACCCCTGCTGTGTCCCGAGCACTGTGCAGGTCTCTCTGACTCCTGTTTGATCCTCACCGTGACCCGTTCTTGGCCATGAGGTTCAGTGGCCGGAGCTCTCCAGTGACGCTCACTCCGCGGAAGAGAAGTCCCCATCTAGCCGGCCCCCGGAGGGTGGGAGGCCGGGGAGGATGGCCTCAGGGACAGGCCAGGGCAGCAGGACGTGGAAGCAGGAGGAGGAAGGCGGCTGGACGGAGGCGCCCCTGCAGGGCCAGTCCCGAGCAGGGCCTCCCCAGGGAGGAGCATCGGGCCAAGAGCCCAGGCCCAGGTCACATCCAGCCGTGTCCACTGGGTCGCCACGCCTCGGAGCCCTGCGTCCCAGGGTGGGGAGGTGGGCAGACCGAGGAGGGAGCAGAGGAAGAGGAGACCTGGGGACAGGGCCACACGAAGAGGCCCAGTGGAGGGAGAGGTGGCCCAGGTGGCGTCGGGTCCCAGAGAGAACGGGGAGGAGAAGCTGGGGAAGAGGGAGTCAGCACGTCCAGCCCAGGAGAGGCCAGGAGGACCAGCCGGACTCAGGCCGAGCCAGGGGCGCCATGGTGGACGCTGCCTGTGGGAAGGAGCCCGGGGAGGGCAGCCCCAGGGAGCGGGAGCCACAGGGAACCCAGCTCAGGGTACGAGAGAGTGGTGACTCTGGCCACCTGCAGGACAGGCAGCTGCAGGAGCTGCATAGAGACCAAGGGAGAGAGGAAGCTCCCAGGTCCAGACTGTCGGCCCTGAGCCCCCCACAGGGGACCTTCCAGAACTGACCCCCGCCCTGCAGCGTCTGCCCAGCTGCCCGTCCACAGACCCCGGCAGAGACTTGGCCCTCAGGAAGCCCTGTGCCCACCTCGGCCTGGGCAGCAGCTGGCACAGCAGCTCTGCTCTGGTGCAGCTGGACAGGGCCCAGCGAGGCTGCAGGCCCACTCACTGCCTACCAGGCCCGACTCGGCCAGCTCAGATAGGACATGGGATCCCTTCTTACTAAATAGGACACGACCAGAACCTTCTGCCTTCAAGGTGCACAGCTCAACAGCGTTAGGGCACTCAGAGCTGGCAGCCATCGCCCTGTCTTACTCCAGAACATTTCCATCACCCCAGGAACCCACAGCAGTTCCTCCCACCCCTACGCCCACCCCTTGTCCCTGGCCAGCACTGGCCCCTTTCCACCTCTGCGGATCCGCCCTTCCTCGACCTTTCACACGCAGGGAGCTGAGCACGCGTGTCTGGCTTCCTTCTCTGGCGCCCTTTCTCAGGGTGCATCTCCCTTGGCGCGGATCGTTCCCTTCTACGGCTGATGAGCGCGGCGTGGCGTGAGTGCCACACTGGAGCTACCCGTTGGTGGCTGACGGGCATCACGTTGTTTCCAATTTGCTCCGAGAGGAGTAGCACTGCTGGGGACCTCTGTGTGCAAGTGTCTGTGGGTGGACGTGTGTGTCCTTGGCTCTGCTGGGTCCCTTGGAAGCTCCAGACTGTTCTCCGCAGCAGAGGCACCGTTTAGCGTCCCACCAGCAGCCACGGAGGGTCCCACTTCTTCCCGACTCACCCACTCTTCCCGGGGCTGCCTTCTTGATTCCAGCCAGCCTCGCGCGTGGGAAGCGGTGTCTCCTTGTGGCTTTGCATTTTCTTTTTCATTTCTTGCATCTGAACTTTCATTATGGAAAACTTCAGACATCTACAAAGTCCGTGGACCCCAGTACCCAAGACTCAGCTCAATCACCAGGTCCTGCCGTTCTCCTTCCCTCTCTCCGCCACAATCGCTCCTCCTTGTCACTCATCATTTTTACCTTACCATTTTGCAGGTGCCATGATGTGCACTGAAACGCACCAGCCAGAGCTGCATTTAACACACGGATACGCAGTGCAGCCTTCACCCCTGTTAATATGATATTGAACATCCCCCCACCCCCCGAAACTCCCCCCATGGCCCTTCCCAGTCAGCCCAGGGCACCTGCCATCAAAATGGGTGGCTTCGCCCCTTCTTCACCCCTTGCCGTAGGTGGAAATGGTGCATCGGGCTTGTTGGGTTCCACTTCGGGCCTGTGGTCCCTGGTCCCACTCTGGCCTCCTGGGGCTGCCTCTCTGCCTCTCCCTGGATGAAGGAATCAGGGCCCTTCTCATGCCCACGGGGAGCCAGCCCAGGAACAGGGTGACACCGGGCCCTGCCTGCCTAGGACTGAGGGGCTTTCTAGGGCCAGGATTTTCTGTGCTCAAACCCAGAAAGACGTGGGCAGACTAGGGACTAGTTGGAGCTGTTCCCTCCCCGCAAAATACCACCAGCAACTTCCCCAGAGAGACAGGAACCGGAACTCTCTTTTCTTTCCTTCCTTCCCTTTCCTGATTTCCTTCCAGTGCGGCCTGGGCGGTCACCCTCCCTGGAGCCGTAAGTCCCACCTCCTGCTGCCAGCTGCACATCCCCTGGGCTGCAGAGCGGTCAGGTGGAGTCAAGTGGGGTCCTGCTGCAGTGCAGGGAGGGACCGGGCCAGGCTGTGGGAGGACAGGGTGCGCCCGGCATGAACAGCCAGACACCAGCACCGGCCACGGCGGGGGGCGGGGGGGACACCTGCAGGCCCTCTCAGCCCTTCAGGATCACCTCGGGAGCCCTGTGTTGGTCTTCCCACACCACAGGCCTCTAGAGCCAAGGGGAACGACCCCGGGGGTCAGTGAACAAGAGGCCTTGTAGGGGGAATCTGGCCCCGAGTCCAGCTCTCCGGTGCTTCCACCTCTAGGGGCCTGGCCAACCTGCACATTCCTGGGCCCCACCCAGGGTGGCAGTTTTGTGAGGGGGCCCAAGAACCTGCACTTGCAAAACCCCCCTGGGATCTTCTGATGCCCGGGGTTCTGTCTCAGCTTTGAAAAATTCCGATTGTGTCCCAAACCCTCCATTGGGGACTGAAGCACAGAGAGAGTAAGGACTATTTCAAGGTCACACAGCAGGACTGGAGATTCAGGATCCCAAACTCTTGAGCTCTCCAGGATCCGGAGCAGACCTCAGGTCCTGAAGCCACCTCAGAGGGTAGAGAATGTCCTCAGCAGGAGGAGGAGAACATGGATGCCCTCTGTTTGAGCCAGGAGGCTATTGTCTTGAGTGACATGTCGGTCACATGCCCAGTCATCACCGCGTGCCGCCAACGCTTCATATGCATGGATGGAGTGTGCCCACCAACCTCCAGGGCACAGACAACTGGAAGCCCAGAGGGGGCAGATGACCCCCTGAGTCAGTGGGCAGCTGGGATTTGAACCTGGGCCACAAACGCTCTGGGCTCCATCTCTCATCAGCCCTCCCTCTGCCCCCCACCCTACACAGACCCGACGGAGGTCAAGGAGAACAGAGCCCAGCCCTGGACAGGCCAGTGAGACCTGGGATGGACCCGCCCCTTTCTTTTTCTCCCGCAGTCAGAGAGAACATTTTGTTTTAGGATTCCTCTGGGCCCAAGCCCTGGAAATAATTTCTTTTTCCACTTCAGAGCGTTTTAATCTAAAAAAACTGCCATTGTCAACATGCTGCTTTTCACAAGGGCAGTGGGCTTTGGCCATCCATCCACTCATCCATCAGGTGTGTGCTTCTGTGTGTGTTATTAATACTTGGGTTCTTAACCCTGGCTGCACATTAGAATCATCTATGAGGCTTCTGGAAAATTCTACCACTCAAGTGAAAACCCAGATTAACCAAATTAGAATCTCTGGGCATCTGGCCTGGACATCAGGGTGTTTCCAAGCCTCCCAGGTGATTCCACGGCACAGCCAAGGCTGAGGCACGTTTGAGCAGGGCTTCTCAAACCTCAAGGTGCACCAAATCACTGCGGAGTCTGTTAAAATGCAGATGCAGGGGGAGGGGGGGTCAATGCCTTGGTTGGAGGACCACACTCTGAATAATACCAGGCTAGTGGGACCATGTTAGATGTTAGGAGCCAGAGGCAGGGAGCTGAGCAACACAGGGTGGCCACAGAATGGCCCCACCTGGCTGGAACCAGCAAGGAAGACAATGGCTGGGTGAAGGTTGCCACCACGTGTCACAGGGACTGGACTGCAGCCTTAGGTCCCTCCAGCCCCCAGAGCTAGGTCTGCTGCCTCGCCACCTTACCCCAAGGGCTAACACACGCCTGGCACACAGGGGACCCTCAATTCATTTCTGTGGACTCAAAGAATGAGGGACAATAGCTGAAGTTACAGAAACAGCTTATGGTGGCTGAGACCTGGGTTAGGGTCAGACCCCACCATCTACCAGTTCTGTGAGCTCAGGCAAGTCGTGGCACTACTAGGAGCCATTTCCTGAGCCGTGAAATGAGGTCACACCACTCACTCACAGCATTGCCAAGGGCCAGCACCAGAGCAGTGTGGCACCTGGAAAGAGCTCCCATCAGCGAAAGTGAAGGCTGGCCTCCATAACCTGGAAGCCCTAGGAGCCAGGCTTGGAACGAAACAGCAGTGGATATCTCTCTTGCAGACAGCCCCCATTGAGACCTGGGTGAGTGGGTGGCTCCTATTCTGAGACCCAGATTTTTCCACCTGGAGGGTCTATCCTCCCCAGAGCGCTGGTCCCACCTGCCATTCTGAGCTACACTGCAGGCCCACCTGTGCGTCCTGGTGCAGGGAACCTGGAGTGTGCAGCCGCTCACCCCCACCCCTGGGCCCAGAGGTGGTTCTCCATAGGAGAGCTGCAAGGGAGGCTGCAGAGGGTGGCGTCAGATCCAGCCGAGCAGCCTTGGAACCAGCCACAACCTGAAACTGCAAAAGAGGAGGCTGGGGGGACAGCTTGGCCGGCTGACCCATCCAGGAAGGCTTCTCCCACCTGCCTCTCGTTGCTCTCCCCGCAGGGCGAATGTTCTCACAAATGCTACTACATCTTCGTGGTGGAGACCATCTGCGTGGCCTGGTTCTCCCTGGAGTTCTGCCTGCGGTTCGTCCAGGCCCGGAACAAGTGCCAGTTCTTCCAGGGGCCGCTGAACATCATCGACATCCTGGCCATCTCCCCGTACTACGTGTCGCTGGCCGTGTCCGAGGAGGCCCCGGAGGACGGCGAGAGGCCGCCGAGCAGCAGCTCCTACCTGGAGAAGGTGGGGCTGGTGCTGCGCGTGCTGCGGGCGCTGCGCATCCTCTACGTGATGCGCCTGGCGCGCCACTCGCTGGGGCTGCAGACGCTGGGCCTCACGGTGCGGCGCTGCGCGCGGGAGTTCGGGCTGCTGCTCCTCTTCCTGGCCGTGGCGGTCACCCTCTTCTCCCCTCTGGTCTACGTGGCAGAGAATGAGTCCGGCCGGGTCCTGGAGTTCACCAGCATTCCCGCTTCCTATTGGTGGGCCATCATCTCCATGACGACGGTGGGCTACGGGGACATGGTGCCCCGCAGCGTGCCAGGCCAGATGGTGGCCCTCAGCAGCATCCTGAGCGGGATCCTCATCATGGCCTTCCCGGCCACGTCCATCTTCCACACCTTCTCCCACTCCTACCTGGAGCTCAAGAAGGAGCAGGAGCGGCTGCAGGCCCGCCTCTGCCGCCTCCAACGCGCCAACTCTGCCAGCGAACATGAGCTCCTGACCGACGTGGACGACCTGATGCTGGAGGGCCCCGCCTTGCCCATCCCCCAAGTGTAGCTCAGAATCCCTCCCTCCTGAATGCACCCTGTAGCCCCAGCCCATCCCTCTTGCTGAACCAAGCTCCAGAACGCCGGGGTAGACCAACTGGCCGCAGGTCTCCAGAGCTCCAGAGAGCCTCCCAAGCAAGGAGGCTGCCCAGCCAGCCTTCCCCAGCCACCTGCCTCCTCCCCTCCTGCCCATCTGCTGAGCACAGCCCATCCTCCTGAGCCAGGCCATCTCCCTGCCTTCTCTCTTCTCCCCAGCAGTCTGCAGCATCCCACTCTGGGACCTGATGCCATAGAACTGGCTAAATGATGAGCTTGCAGAAGCCCACTCTTCCCTAGGACCTGCTTTCTTGGGCCGCATCACCACGGGGAAACCCTTCTGCGAGACCCCCGCCCAGCTCCACGTGCCCTCAACCTAACCTCCACCTGCGGATTTCCCGAGGGGGCAGCTGCCAGCCCCCTGCTCCAGAAGCTCTGTGCCAAGAAGGCAGAACTAGGCTGGTGTGGGGTGCGTGGCCTCAAGCCTGCCATCCTCTGGCCAACCTGGGACCTGGGCGCAGCACACTTGCCAGCAGGACGCAGAAAGCCCTCCTTGGCTGGCCAGGCTCTTGGGGGGACATTCTGCAGCCACCCAGCCCTTGGCCTTGACAGAGGCCGACTCTCCCGGGGCTCTGTGATGTCTGCTGCAGGGACCTCAGCTCTCCAAGCTCAGCCGAGACACACGGACACAGAGCTGCTGCCAGGGTCTACCCTAGCTGGCTCCTGGACCAGGCCACGGGACCGACGTTCTGTTTATGTCTAGATGTGTGCATTCCTCTGTGGGTTTATGGGCAGATTAACCCTTGGCACCTGGGAGAGAAGCCAGGCTGAGGGCCACAGTGCTGGAGGAGGCAAGGGGTCCTGAGATCAGGAGAGAAGACAAGGACCTCTGGAGCAGTGGACGCCTAGAGGCCCAGAGGCCCAGATGGGCTGAGTGCTCAGGGGCATTGGGGGGAAAGTGGGTTGAGATGAGAGGATGCAGACCCGCGGAGCTTTGTAGAGGTGGTGTGGACAGACGGTGGGTGAGGACGGTGACAATGGTCGAGAGGATGTGAGACCAGACTGATTGGGGGTGACTGAGCAGAGAAGCAGGGCCTGCAGGGGACCTCCTCCGGGGAACTCACCAGACAAGGACGAGTCACCTCTGGAGTCTCTCTCGTCTTGTCTCTCACGGAGCACACCTAGAAGATGTCCCCATGGCACTCCCCAGGAGTGACAGGGCCCTGCACTGTTGGTCTCTGTTGGCTGAACGTACACTGGGCTGGGAAAGTGCATGGGACACAGATGAGCCTGGGCCGGGAATCGGGACCTGCGGGTACGGCATGGCCTCACAGGGGGTGGTCGGCACGTCATCGCTGATGACAGGTCCCTTGCTGTTAGCTCCTTCCTCTGGTGTTTAGGCCTCTCTGTGCCAGGCCCAGGTGGCCCTACCACAACACACAGCCGACGGCTCTGGCACGGAGCACCAGCACCGAGCCTGAAGTGAGCTTTGGCCTGGCAAGGGGCCCTGGATTCCTTCGACTCCTCAGATGTCCCCCCAGCGGTGCAGGCACATGTCCCCAGCCCTTTACACCTCAGCAGTCAGCAGGTCACCAAGCTGACATTTCTCCAAGTAAGCTCTATGCAGAGTGACACGGTGGCCACCGCCCAAGGAAAGTCTCTACCATTCCTACTTCTCACGGGCCGCTCTGCTCTGGGAAATAGCTGGCCAAGTCTCACAGGCATTGGGTCAGGTGCTGGGGACCCTGGAACAATAGCCATGAGTCTCTTGTCCCAGGCTGAACTTTTTCGTAACTACTCTTGGGCAAAATTTTAAAAAGACAAAGGCTCCCACTTACTCTCTTCCAGGGGCTGGACAACTCGGTGCCCCTGAGGCCTGGACTTGTCCCTCCCTCCGTGACTTTGGGCAGCCCTCTTTCTCTGGCTAGATCCTGACCTGGGGTGTTCCGACTAGAGCTCCACAGACTCCCTTCAGGGCCTCGTGGCAGAGAAGATCAGCCAAGCGGCCAGAGCTCTGCCAGCCAGGGCACCACCCTGGCCACCGGTGACGTTTGGAATCATGCAAAAATCTCTAGACACCTTCTCCCCCCAGGCAGTGCCTGCCCACAGCCCCTGGAGCTGAGGGGAGGCTCAGCCCTGGGACCAGAGCAGAATCCTCAAGAGACACTAGAAGACCTGGGTCCTTGGAAGCCCCCACATCTGCCCCCTCTCCTGACTGAGGACATGTCTGTGCCGCGTGTCTGCTGCGGTGACTCCTAACGGCAGCTCTGCTCACCACTGTGACTGGCTCCCACCTAGAGGTCTCCACTGTCCTTGGTCCCCCCCCACCAGGCCTCTCCACAGAATGCGCCAAGGCTAAAGGAAAAGTTGACAACCAGCATCAGATGAGCCACCGGCATCGCCGTGAGGTTCTGCAGTGACTGCCCACGCGCCTGGGGGAATTCTCCACTCAGTCTGAGATGGTAAATTGCAATCAGTGGCTTGCACGTGGGGCTTAATTAAGGCTCTATTTTTTCTGCTGCTAGTGTCCCAGGAGACGGTCTGAGTCGCCTTGGCCTGTCCTTGCTGGGCAGCCTCTCCTGCGTGCGGGTCGGGAGTGTCCAGCTCCTGCAGGCAGCGTCTCCATCCCCATTGGCTGAGAGGGCCTGCGGACTCCAGAGGGCTCCTTCTCTCTGGGGCCACAGGTGGACGCTGTCCGCTGATGGCAAGGAGAAACGACCTCCACTTGGAGCCATTTTTCAGGTGGTACCCGTCCAGGGTCATGTTCCCGGCGATGGCTGCCGTTTGGTTCAGCGACCCTCTAGCTGAATGGCGATGAGCCCGAGCAGCAGGTCGGGAGGATGAGTGAGATCTGGAATGGTTTGGAGGGATTCCAGTGGGGCTGCACCAGGGAGTGTCCCAGGAACCCACCGACTCTATGTTGATGGCTCCTAGGACTTAAGACTATGGGAGTTCCATCAGACTAAGTTAGTCTAAAGAGGGAGCGTCCACAGGGCCCAGAGGGGTGGGCCTCTTGGGATGACATGCAGGTGGAAGTGCAGAGTGGCCACAGAGTTCACCAGTTACTCAAAGGAATCACAATCCCTCAAAAAGAATGAAGAACTCTAGAGTAAATCAACTCCCTCATTCTAAGATGGAGAGAGGAAGGTTCAGAGAGGGAAGACCACCTGCCCAGGGCCACACAGCCAACTCATCTAGTCAGCTCCACCATCCTGATTCCCAGCAGAGCACCCTTTGAGGGCATCCTGCTGCAGCTCTCAGGCTACCAGGCCACTGTGTCCTGAGCAGAGTCAGCAGCATTGTCCAGCACATTGTGCAACACTAGGCCTGGGGGTCCACTTCTCTGGCCCTTCCTTTCCTCACTTATTCCACAGGGACCATGCAGGAGAGGCCGTGGGTCCTCATCAGCTGGGGGCAGCTGTGGACAGGAGAGCGCTGAGAAGGAACCAGCTGTGGACACGTCCCAGGCCGCGAAGTGGCTCCTTGGCAAAGCGGCGAGTGGCTCAAGCCGAATGTGTCCACTGATGTCCCTCCCTGCATCCGCCCACAAGCCCCTGCCTGCCCACCTGCTGCCACACCCCCAATCTCCTGGCCGCTGGCAGTGGCTGCCCACCACACAGGCCCCTGGAGCCGCCTCCTGAACCCTGGCCCTCTTCTCCCTGGATCCGGGGATGACAGGTGTCACTGCTGGACGACTGCTAGGCCCCCACAGTGGGCTTTTCAACATTTTCTTTGGAAAACCCGTCAAACACACAAGAAACACTGCAAGAACAAAAGTAGTGGTAGAAGACCCCGATCCACCTTTTCACCGGTGCATCGACGTTTTTGCCCCGTCTTTATTGTCCTTATCTGCGAGTCGCATGTTTTCCGGAGCCACGGAAGAGCAGGCTGACCGCTGGGGGCCTCCGCTCGCAGATCTTCAGACGCCTCAGCCGCCCGCCCCGGCCCAAGCGCTCCCCGCAGGAGTCCCCGGGCGGTTCCAGAGGTCTGGGAACATTTCCAAGTATGGGGCGTCCAACTGCCTAAGCGAGCTGTGTCCCTCTCGGGTGTCATGTCTGGGGGTACCACGTCCCTTGTCAGTGATAGGCAAGCCCTTTGGTTGGAAATGACCCCAACGCTGGCAGGGGACTGGAGACTGAGAAAGGAGTCCAGGGGCCTGGGAGTGCTGTGGCTTGGCCCAGGGATACTCAGATCCAAATCCAAAATGGACCTGCTCCTCACCCCAGGCAGCAGGACAGGCCGCACGCGCTGACTTGGCTGGGCACGTGCTGGCCACTCCGGCCACCTGTGTGCGGAGGAGGGCATGTCTTTCTTGCAGGTGAACCCGTTCCCAAGGCTCAGCACATCATCTCTGTCCGCCTGTGACAAGAAGGGCACTCTCCGTTGTCCTTCCCAGAACCTGACCCGCTTCACCGATTTTTAGAACTAAAAAGACTTTAATGATCACTGGGTCCAACTTGCCCACTTTACGGGTGTAGACAGGCCCAGAGAGGGGATGTAATTGGGCGAGCCCCACAGCCAGTGCTGGCAAAGCCCGGACTCGGTCAGGCCCTGGATTCGCCGTCCCGTGCTCCCAGTTCTGGGCCACCCGATCCTGCCAGCGCCTGTCTCTGTGCAGCATCTGACATCCATCCAAGGGGCACCTCCAGCAATGTGACACAAGGAGCCCAGCCCTGGCCTGCCTCCCACGGACTCCAGAGAAAGGTGGCGGCGCCCGTCAGCTGCCAACCTCCGTCACTCACCTTTGCCACAAGGAGAACAAAGCCGCGGGGACGCTGGGCTCCATGTGATGAGGCTCGGGAGAATCTGGGTGTCCTGAGCCAAAATCAGCCAATCTTGCTCTTCTCAAGACTTTCCTGGTGCTCAGCAGTGGCCAACCTGACTGGGGTCCCTTTGGGGAAGCTCGGCACTTTCACCTGGCACCTTCCTGGCTCAGCCTCCAGGGGCCCTCACCCCCAAGTGCCCCCGGAGAAGCATTAAAGAATAGTAAGAAGTGAGGCTGGGGCTTCTCTGCGTGTCAGAGCGGGTCCAGTTATAGGCTGCTGGGGCTGACCTTGGGCAGGTGGAGGATCCCCTGGAAAGGCAGTGGCAGGGCCAGGGGCCCCCAACCAGGCCACCAGCGAGACCAGGGCCATGAGTTGAGTGTGGCCAAGGCTGGTTTCTGGGGAAGTGTTTCTTTTGCATCTACTACGGGCCAGGCGTGGAGAGGCGTGAGCAGCACAGGAGCCTGCAGGGCCCAGTGGAGGGGGAGGGGAGGGGGGAGGGCAGCCCTGAGCCTTCAGAGAACACACCCCCACAGCTTGAAGTCCCAGGACCGTGGAGGCCCAGGAAAGACGGGGAGTGACCACCGGTGGCCTGGGAGGGCCAGATCTGGCCAGGCTCCTGGAGGGGCGTTGCTGGCTTCTCAGGGACCTTGGGTTCCTCTAGAGCCAATCTGGGGCAGGATGGGAGTGCAGCCATCACATGCAAAGATGGTCTGTTAACTGGAAAACCAGCCCTGGTACCACGGTCAAAGGAAACAGCGTTTCTTGGAACAAAGGTTGGCACCTGGGACGCACTGAATCAGGGGGGCGCGGGGGCCGGGAAGGCAGGAGCAGGGGACGGGCCTGACGAGGGGGTTCCACGGAGGTCGGGTTCCGGGGCGGCTCACTGGCTGGGCAAAGCCCTGGATCACTCAGCCCCTCTGAGTGGCTAGGGGTGCCCAACACAGCAGAGGCTCCCAACGCTGCTTTGCCTCAAAGACCCGCGTCAAGACCCACGTTGACCCCAGGGGTCCTCCAAGTCCATGAGCAACCCACCCTGTGGCCTGCCCCGTGGCCTGCCCTGTGGCTCCCCACTCCTCCCCACTCCACTTCCTTCCTGGGTCCTGGAAAACACCAGCAGGGGGAAGGGGAGACGGAGGAGAGCAGCCAGGCCACGTGGCGGCCACAGCAGTGTCGGTGGGCCTGGTCAACCCGTTCACACTGACTGGCAGATGTGGTTCAAGCCCAGGGGGGGCTTGGGGAGGCGGTGTAGACGGGGAAACCCAGGGGCACACGGAGCAAGAGCACATTTCTCTCCTGTGCCACTCTCCCCCCCTGATAACAGCTCAACACGCTCTAGAGCGCACTTGTAAATACCAGAATGACTCCTTTCCAAGTTCAAGAAGCCCTGTTCTGACTTCATTAGACAAATAAATGAGTGAAAAAACAATCAGAGAATTATTGGCTCTTATAACTGGAAATCCAGATGGAGTTCAGGTATCGTTTAGTCCATAGGTTCAGCCAATGCCATTGGCTGACGCAGATTCACTGCATCTCCCTCTGCCTCCTGGGTGTGGTGGCTTTATCCAGGCTCTCTTCATGGCCACAAGGTGGCTGCATAAGCTCTAAATCTCACACCCACACTCCACCAAATCCACTGAAAGAAAATGCCTTGTGCCTAGACTCCCAATCACGGCTCTCCTTGGTCTTATGGAGCAGGTTACATGCACATCCTGGAACCAACTTCTGTGGCCTCACCAATTGGCTCATGTGGGTGGAGACTCACCCAGGAACATGGGCTCTGCACCACCCAGGCCAGAATGGACTTGTCTCCTGAGGACAAGGAGGGCACTGCCCCGAAGAGGGAAATGGGTACAGGGCAGCATCCCTGGGTGACTACTACTCTGTGCCAGTCCCTGTGCTGGGGACAGTTCTGGGAGAGCTGGACTGGCACGCCCTGCTCACAAGAGGGCTGCCCCGCCCCCAGCCCCCTGGGGCATGCAGGGACACCCCCTTGCCCACTGCCCCCGTCTGGGCTCTTTGAGGAGTCAGCAGAACAGCTCTGGGCTCCCCTGGGGAGCTTGAGGATGGGGGGGCAAGCTGGGCCCAGAGGCCCCTGGGCGAGGCTGGGACGGGGCTGCCAGGCAGGGTGTGCGATGTCCCCAGAGCTGTCCCCAAGGCTGTTCCAGGCCTGGGGGCTCACAGGAACAGCCGAAGAGGCACCAAGGAAGAAGGTGGGGGCTGCTCTGCAGAGGCGGACCCCGAGATGAGGCTGCAGCAAAGCCCTGCAGGAGGAGGAGGGGCAGGGTTCACCCACCCCCAGCCCCCCCAGTGTCCTCCAGGGCACATCCCAGGGGTAGTGTCCACAGGAGAGAAGGCGCTAGAGTGCAGGAAGGAGGTGCGCTCAGGGCCCGCAGGGACGGGGCAGGGCTGCCCGACACGGCATCGGCCCCCAACGCTCCCTTGCCTCGAACGGGCCCTTCCCACAGGGAAGATGCTGTCACACCTCCCCCGCACCCTGCGGGAAGGTCATTGACCACGCGAGCCTGTGTCCACCTGTGTCCTCTTTAGTAACAGAAGCTCCCTGAAGGACAGCAGTGCCGCTGCTAACCAGCCACCTCTGCGGCAAGGTGTGGCCTGCGACCAGGTTTGGAGCCAAGGGCATGGAGCAGAGGGAGACAGGAACCTTCAAGAGGAGGCTGCCTCCACTGAGGTGTGGACAGCGGCCTGCACCCAGGCAGGGACCTCAGGACTGTCCTGTGAGGCGTAAACTGCTCTGAGCCCCGGTGGACGCGGTGCTCTGTGCCCGCAGCTCAGCAGGCACCATTGTGCGTGTGGACGTGAGGGAAGCCAGGCCTCCTGAGACGGCAGTGCACGCACACCCCAGGCTGCAAGAGACTGATTCTGGGGGAGCAGATACCAGGGGGCACTCGGCCACTGGGCCACATCCCCAGCCCTTTTTGTATTTTATTTAGACACAGGTCTCACTGAGTTGCTTAGCGCCTCGCTTTGAACTCACAATCCTCCTGCCTCAGCCTCCCAAGCCCCAGGTGTGCACCACCATACCCAAACTATTGTTTTAAGAATGCTTTATGTAGCTGCTTTTCTGAGATACAATTTATATGCCGTACAATTTCTTTTTCTTTTTCTTTTTGGTACCAGGGATTGAACTCAGGGGCACTTGACCACCGAGCCACATCTCCAGCCTTTTTTTAAATCTTATTTAGAGACAGGGTCTTACTCTGTTGATTAGGGCCTCAATAAGTTGCTCAGGCTGGCTTTGAACCCGCGATCCTCCTGCTTCAGCCTCCCCAGCTGCTGGGTACAGGTGTGCGCCACCATGCCTGGCGAGTTTATGTGTCATACAGTTTACCCAAGTGCACAGTAGAATGCAAAGGCCATCCAGGGTCCAGCGAAGATTCCCGAGCCTGGGGCTGCGGGGAGGGGGCTGGGGGAGGGGGTCATGCTGAGGAAGCGGCACTTGAATTTGCCAAGCTAGATGACATCACCTCCCGATTTAAATGTGCTACTGTTGGCAAAACTCCACCCCAAGGGGTTAGGCCAAGAGGACATTAACAGACTGTCCATGGCAGAAGTAGCCTCATCATCACCCGCAACGGTGCGTAAGCTGAGTCAAAGGAGCTGAGCGAGTGGAGAGCAGAGACGGTCGGCAGGGGACAGGGCAGGCAGATAGGGGACGCGAGGACAAGGAGTACTTATTTGGCAGAACACAGCAGAGTTGATGTCATTTTGAGGAACTTGTTTGCCTGGGGATTATGTGATTAATGAGCACCGCGGGGCTCACCAGGGCACAGAGCTGAGTTTGGAATGACGGGGGACTTCAGGACCCGGCTGCAGTCACCACTGCAGTGCCAAGTAAATCAATGCCGAATCTGTAGTAAATGGACTAATTAATACACTTGGAGGGTTCAAAAGCCCTCTCCAGCTCTAGAGAAGTTATGACCATGAGAAACGATTGTCTGAAAGTTGGCTTCATTTTCTAAACGCCACCTAACTGTAAATACCACAGTTGTTTTCTTAGTGAAGCAGAAATCAGAGCGCACCGGCTTCCGCCTGCCTCTGCTGGTGGACTCCCTCCCTGCACCCTCCTGGCCGCAGGTGGCTGGCCTCCCCCTTGCAGCCTCTCCTGCCTGGGCTCCCCTCTCCTGTCCTCCCCCAGCCACTCTCTCATGCCGACGTCCCAGCACCACTTCTCCAGGCGCGCCAACCCACAGCTCCTTTCTGAGTGGCGGAGCCGGGAGCAGAGCCGAGGGAGAAGGGGGAGCCAGAGCCAGGGGGAGACTTCAGGACAGGTATCGCCCATTCTGTCTTATAATTCAGCAAGTTGGGGCTCAGAAACATTTAGAACTTCATCCAGGGTCACAGAGGGACTGTGCCGCGTCCCAGGGGCTCCATGGGAACCTCAGAGGCCCCAGCCTCACCCTGCACCTCCTCACCTGGACAATGAGGCGTGAGGTGGCGACTGCACCTGAGCAAAGCCCTGGCCCGGGCTGCTGGAAACTGGCACCTGCAGTTGGTGGTCCCTCCTCCGCCCGAGTGGGCAGTGGCTGCAGTACAGTGGAAAGGGAGAGCAGGGGCCCCGTGGGCCAGCAGAGTGCACCCCATGACAGACGAGCCGGGCCAGTCCTCCCATTAGTCACCCCTTGGTACTGCAGGGATTGGCTCCAGGCTCCTTGGAAACCGCAAGGTCTGAGGATCTCAGGTCTGCCCTCTGAAGTGCCTTGGTGTCCACAGGAGCTGTGCACAGCCTCCCAACACTTGTTTTGGAGGGGGGTGCCAGGGAGGGAACCCAGGGGCTCGCCGACCCCCAGCCCCTCCAGTAGAGTTTACATCGTGTCTAGGTTGCTCATAACGCCTAACACAACATACCTGCTCTGCAAACAGCTCTCATATTCTCTACGCTGTTTGGAGAACCTAACATGTCTGCCCACTCAGTACGGGTGCGGTTCTCTCTAGTATTTTCAATCTGCTGGTGGTGGCCTCTGTGGTTGTGGGTCCATGGATGCGACAAGCCAATTGGTGCACACAGAGGTGACACAGCCAGCCACAGCCTCACACACCCAGTGGCAGAGGACATGTTGGAGGGAGGAGATCCAATCTCAGGGCTCCCTGGCAGGCCTGGCCCAACTCTGAATGGTCCCTGGGGGGACCATCAATGTCCGTCCAGGTTTTCCAGGAAAGCAGAGCTGACGGACCTCCAGAGATCCATGGAAGACTCCAATCGCAGGGTGAGGAGTCCCGTGGTCTGCCACGTGAATGCCAGAGTCCCAGGAATGCAGTGTCCAAGGCAGAAGATGGAGTCAGCTCAAGACCAGTGGACTTGCTCTGTCTTCTGGGTCTACTGTGGCCCAGGGCAGTTTGGATATGCGGCCTAGTGTGGGTTGGGGGCTTGGGGGCATCTTCTCTACCCACCCTGATTCCAATGCTCTTCTCTCCAGAGCCCACTCAGGGACACCCAGGAGCTGTGTTTCTCCAGCTACCGTGGGCGCCATCAACACCAGCCAAGTTGACACATGAAATTAAACATTCTGCCATTTTGACCAGCTTCCCAAGACCCAGCCACAAGAGGAGTCTGTGGTTTTGAATCTTGGAGCTGCTGGGGATGCAGGGAGCCTTGGACTCTGGGTAGAGGCTGCAGGGCTGGCCCTGGGTCCCTGCTGTGCTCCTAGGACACTGCCCAGATTGGTGAGGTTGCAGGTCTGCAGAGTCTCCACACACCCCATGCAGGGTCACCCTCTTCCCTCCACATCCAAGGTCTGCAGAGCACCAGCCGTGCTGGGGGTGAACTATGCCGTTCTAAAGAACCCCAAGCCTGCAGCTGACACTGCTCAGGCAGCCTCGGGCTTACCCAGTCCAAAGAGCTGGACGACCCGGAGCAAGGCCTACTGGACCCACCGCCAGCCCGCACTCCCCAACCCGGGCTGCTCAGGCCCACAGAGCGCCCTCAGTAGTCGGGACAGCTGAGGCCTCCCACCGTTCACCTGGGCCCACACATTCTCGGCTGCTCCCCCAGGCCCAAGCCCTGGGAGGGAGGGGCGCAGGGCCTCCACAGTGAGGAAGAGCCGCTCCCACACCTCACTGCCAACAGCAGCCAGAGCCTGTCCTTTGGCCCAGCACCCTGGCTGGAAGACAGGGGCAGGAAAGCCCCACCCCAGACCTGTCCCCACACCCATGAGCCCACGCTGCAGTGGGTTCTCAGAGGGGCAGGAGGGCTCTCCTCACAAACCACCCAGCCCACTGCCCCAATACACACACACACACACACACACACATACACACACACACACACAGTGCACCAGAAACCACTTCTTTATTCAAACCCCAGTGTGCCCCTCCACACCCCCCACCCCGCTGCAGACCCAAACCCTGGGCTCGGCTCTGCTCAGGGACCCTCAGTTTCTGAACTTGCCCACCAGGGGCTTGGAGGGC